CCTTCTGATCTTTCTCAACCTGAAATCTGTGTTGTCAGATACCAGTAGGGCCACCCCAGCTTTTTTGAGGGAGTTGTTTGCTTGCAGGATCGTTTTCCATACTTTGAGTCTGTGTTTGCTTTGACTCTTCAGATGTGTTTCTTGTAGGCAGCAGAATGTTGGATTCAGTTTCTGAATCCATTTTGCCACTCTGTGTCCCCTAATTGGTACATTTAGACCACTGACATGGAGAGAGATTATCATCATGTGGTCTTGTGTCATCTTTCTGTAGGGGTTTGTTGTGCTTGTAGGGCTTTTCTTGTCTTACAGTAACCCCTTCAGTCCTTCTTTTAGGTTTGGTTTTGAGTCTATGAAGTTCCTGAGCTGTTGTTTATCCATAAAAGTGTGTATCATTCCTTTAAGTTTGAGTGAGAGTTTAGCAGGATGAAGTATTCTTGGTGAAGCATTCATTTCATTGAGTTTTTTTACTATATCCCACCATTGTCTTCGGGCTTGGAGCATTTCTTCTGATAGGTTGGCTGTAAACCGAGGGGGTGCTCCTTTGTATGTGATTTCCTTCTTTGACCTTGCTGCTTGCAGTACTGTGTCTCTATCCATGACATCCATCATTCTGACTAGGATATGTCTTGGGGTCTTCTTATTAGGGTCTCTTTTAGCTGGCACCCTTCGGGCTCCTTGAATCTGAATATCTGCATTCTCCAGCTCTGGGAACTTTTCAGCAATGACTTCTTTAACTGTGGCTTTTTCATTGGGGTTTCCTCCCTGTCCTTCTGGTACTCCAATGATTCTAATGTTGTTCCTCTTGAAATCATCCCCTAGGTCTCTGATTCGCCCTAGAGCAACTTTGAGGTCTTTTCCCATTGTATGTTGTTGCCTGTAAGCTTCCTGAAACTCATCTTCAAGCTCTCTGATTCTGTCTTTGGCTATAGCCATTCTACTGTTGGGGGCACCCATTGAGATTTTTATTTCATCTACCAAATCCTTTAATTGTGACACTTCTGTGCGAAGCTTTCTAATTTCTTCCAGTATATTCTTGGCTGTCTGTTCCAGTATTTCTTTCATGTCCTCCGTTAATTTACTGAATGTCTGTTCCATTGTTTCTTTGAGTTCTTCACTGAACATCTTCAACATTTCATTTTGAAGGTCTCTTAAGGCTATCTTGCAGACCTGGAGAAGGTGACTGTCTGACTGTGCCACAAGCAACAGACCTCGTCCTCCAAGATCAAACTGATGCCAACTTGGGCAGGTTGTTCTGCCCACCACTATGAGTTTCTTCTAACATACTTCCCCAACCAGCCCTATATAAGCTCCAAGCCTCCATCTGAGAGGAAGATGTATTTTGTTTTGTTTTTCGCTTTTGGGCTACACCCGGCAGTTTTCAGGGGCTTACTCCTGGCTCTCTAGGGATCACTCCTGATGAGCTTGGGGACCATATGAAGTGCTGGGAATTGAACCCAGGTCGGCTGCAAGCAAGGTGAATGCCCTACCTATTGTACTATGACTCTAGCCCCTGGAAGATGGATTTTTTAGGACAAGAAGTTTCCCATCGTATCTCAGGTTGCTAGCCCTCGAATAAACCTGTTTCTCACATCTGCCTAGGTCTCTCAAGTACTCATTGGCCTTTGAGTGGCAAGCACCCAATCCTGGGTTAAGGAAAGCTCTGCTCTCTATGCGCCCTGGGATAGCCACATCCACAAGTTGGCTAAGAGGCTTTGTACCTTTGACTTAGCCATGCTGTGTGGCTGACTGAGGGGGCACAAGTTTGAGGTGATCTGTTTTGTTGCTGTTTATTTGGGGGGCCAGCCACAGCATTGCTTGGGTCCTGGTCTTGACTCAAGTACTTGGACACTACTCCTGGCAGTTCTCTGGGACCATGCAGTGTCAAGGATGAGCTGGGCTTCCTGCAGACAGAGCATGTGCTCTCCCTGACTCTGAGGCTCTCTGTGGAAACCAATTCAAAGCAGCTTCCGTGTGCTCTGGGCCTGTGGTGGGCATGGCAGTCCTGATGATCCGAGTCACTTTCAGGGTTCTCCTCATTTTTTTCCTCAATGGATAACATGCTTGCAGTTAAGTAGCTCCAGGGTCCTAGTTTATTGGAGCCAAGGAGTCAGGTGGTCTTTCTTTATTCTGTCTCCTTTTCTCTTCATCTTTCATTCAAATGGGCTGTGTCAGCTTGGAGGAATAACACAGCGGCTTGCCTGTTTTTGAAGAATATGGTCACCTGTTCAAATCCCCATTTCCCACAAATGCCTAACCCAACTCAGGGCAGCTCTCCTCTTTAAGCCTGCAGCTCTGATTCCTGTGATCCCTGCACTTCAATTTCCAGCCTCTTCATAGCCAGGGGTGTGTGAGCACTATGGAAGAAGGGTGCAACCCCTGATTAGCAAAAGATGTGCAAACACCATGAGCAGTAAGTACAACCTGTGGCAAGCAACTGTGTGAACAACGCAACCATAAGTTGTGTGCCTCAACTAAGAGCACTGGCGAGCACACAGCTATAGTAGTGTGCTCCCCAGAGGATACCGCAGCTCAGTGACCACTACAACCTGACTTGTGACCCCAATAAGCACCACAGGCAAAAATGTGCAAGCACCACTGTTGGGCACGAGTGTAATCCCGAATCATCACAACAACAAAGGAAAAGGATTAAAAATAAAGAGACAGACTGTCTTTGCTGGCATAATTCCATCTCCAGTCCCTTCTCTGTTGACGTAGCTGCTTCTTGTTTCTGAGCCACATCATGATTTTTATTGAGTGGCAGTTCAGATCCTTACCAAGCTCTTCAGAAAAAAACTTTCTCTTGGGAACTAGAGATAGTACAGCTGGTGGGTCAACCTGGGTTCCATCTCTGTCACCCCAAATGATCCTCCAAGTCCCACCAGGAATGATTCCCGAGTGCAGAGCCAAGAGTAGCTCCCAAATCCCCTTCCCCCCCAAAAAGAAAAAAACTTTCTTTTTGTTTGAAATAAGGGGTAAAGAGGTAAAGGTAAAGGCCCTCCCGTTGATCATCGATTTGCTCGAGCGGGCCCAGTAACGTCTCCATTGGAGACTTTGTTGTTACTGTGTCTGGCATATCGAAATAAGGGGTAGGCTGATCGAAATAAGGGGTAGGCTGAGAATTTTCCAAGTTTCCAAAGTATGTTTTTTTTTGTTGCTAGAAATTCCATCCTCAATTTCTATCTCTTCTGTTGCATTTTACTGTAAGAACTCAAAGGAGGAAACCTTGGATTTAACTCTGGCACCATCCAATTAGATTGAACCTAGGCCTCCTGTATGCAAAACATGCACTCAGTTCACTAAGTGACCTCTCCAGTTCCCCTCTGTTGCTTTAAAACAAGGATAGCTCTTCACTTTCCAGCAAGACACTTTTTTTTTTTGCTTTTTGGGTCACACCCCGCAATGCACAGGGGTACTCCTGGCTCATGCACGAAGGAATTACTCTTGACGGTGTTCAGGGGACCATATGGGATGCTGGGAATTGAACTCGGGTCGGCTGCGTGCAAGGCAAATGCTCTATCCGCTATGCTATTGCTCCAGCCCCAAGACACTTTTTTTTTGCCTCACCAGAATGGACCTTACTGCTCATGTTTACCAACATTCTGTTCATAGTTACTTATATGTTCTCTAAGATCAGAGCTTTTTCTATAGCTCTAACAGTTACTATTAATTACAAAATTCAAAACTACAACTTTTTTGGGGGGGAGGGGTGGGTTTTTTGGGACCCTTGAGCTATTCTTAGCTCTGAGATTAGAAATGACATCTGGTGGTGGTGCCCAGGGAAGATTTTGGTGCTGGGGATTTTGGGGGCATTCCTATTTAAACCATGCCCATTATCTATGTCTACAATACCACCTTACTTGTGGATCTGATGTATGTGGCCAAAGGAACAATTGCATATTTTCTAGAAGGTCCTGAGAACATACAGCAGGTACCTCTCCTCTTTCCCACCATGTTGGTCATTTTAGCAGTTTATGTTCTAGTCAAATAAAAAACTAAATCTTGCTTTACTTCAGTGTTTCTGCTGTGTGGGTAGACAAGCTCCCACTGCACATGCTAATTTGTAAAGGACAGAATCATTTCACGTGATTAGGAAGCTGTAGTTGGGCCAGAACTTTGAAAAGAGGCAAGGAGTTTCTGTCCAGGAAGATAAAGGCCCCCAGTGTCCTTTTTGAAAACCAGGTCAGTAGAGAGAGACAAAGTCTGGGGCATTGGTGAAGAAATAGGGAGGTTATGGACATGGCTACTGGGGGTAGGGCTAGTGGGAAAAGGGGCATTGGCACTGTAGTAACTTTCAGGGCCTAATTTTAATTTTTAACTCTTCTACTTACTCTCCCACCCCTCCCCCCACACAACCTTTTTTTGCTACTGTTGGGAGCGATAGCACAGCGGGTAGGGCGTTCGCCTTACAAGCGGCCAACATGGCCGACCCGAGTTCGATTCCTCCGCCCCTCTCGGAGAGCCCGGCAAGCTACCGAGAGTATTCGATATGCCAGACACACAGTAACAGTAATGACTGGGAGTCAAACAAACTTGACTGCGGTGCTGAGAGTTGCCTATCTGGCTGTGGGGCTCAGTCAGAGAATTCAGTGACCAGGTGTGAGTGTGTGTGTGTGTGTGGTATCAGTTGCAGTGCTCATCATGCCTGACTGTGGTGCTCCTCACATACTCCAAACATACTTGCTGTAGCTCTGGGGACCCCAAGGAGCAGAACTGCTGAACTGCCTAGGTACAAGTAAGTGTCAGTAGGGATTGAACACATGGTTTCAAACTTAAAAGGTATACACTTTTGTGACTGAGCTATTCCTGAGTCCCTTTGGACGTGAAAAAATTCCCTTCTGGGGCTAGAGAGATAGCACAGCAGGTATGACCCCCCAAACAAAAACCAATTCTTTCCATTCCCAACGTTTAGTCACTGCCCATTTCAAAGGGGAATCTGAAGGTAGGCAGATGTGAGAAGGAAAAGGCAGGGAGCCAAGATGATTTGGTATCCAATGTGTTCATTTATTTTACACTTACAAAAGAAATCGCCCACCCCCTGCCCTATTCCCCAAAAAAGTTTCTTTTTACAAACATTTAAAAATAAAAACCAAATGAAGATAGACAAGTTAATTTCAGTACAATTATTTTTCAATGTAGCTGTCATAATTAGAGTTTAAATTTCCTACAAGTATCCATGTCCAAGTGACTTATAGGGAAATCCTGATTATTGGCCAAAAAGAAAATTCCATATTACAAGTTAGCAAATTCTAGTACAAAAATAGTCCGTGTGTTGGAATAGCCTTTCCCTTTACATAGGTCTTAGGTCCGTCTATTGACTGCATAATACACTGTTTCAGGATTCTCTTTCACAAATGGCTCATTCATCATAGCTGAAGCAACACGGCCCCTGCAGCAGCAGGGGCTAGTGTCCACCTTGGGACCGTGCAAGAGACGGTGGGCCTGAAAGTGCCTCACTGACCGCAGGGCAGCAGAGTAGAGCTCCAGCCCTAGCCCCATAGGGGGATCCTGGAGGGAGGGAAAGTCGTGGGTAGAGCTGCCCGCTTCGGAAAGAACAGCAGGCCCCAGGCGTGGGGGAAGCCAGCTCAGGGAGCTGGGTCAGTGCAGGACACCACTTCCTGCCACTGCCTCCTCGTCCTACTGCAGCCTGACAAGGTGAGAAGCGGCTCCGAGGGTCGTCAGTGGAGAGAGGGTGGCCTAACCTTTGAGGCAGCCAGGGAAGGCTGGGGCAGACTACTTGTCCCGTAGGATGTCGAGCTGCTCCTGACACTCTGTGAAGAGGCGCTGGAAGCGGAGGTTTTGCCCGATGACTGGCAGCAGCTCCTTCAACAGCTCCCTCTTCCGAAGACCCTGAAGGCAGAAGAGTGACAGCTGAGTGTGTGAGAGGACTGCATGGGCTTCCCTGGCCTGGCAGAGACTACTGTGCCTGCCCATCTGACTCCCAAGCAGCCCCAGGAGAAACTAGAGGAATGAGAACAATTTTGCTGAATGTCAGAACCCTGGGAGAGCAGAAGAGCTAACTAAACTAAGGCATGAGGGTATGGTGAGCGTAAAGTGGTAGATCACAGGAGAGTGACAGAATGCAAGAACTATGGTGGAAAAAAACCATGTAGGTTCTGCACCTGTCTCCTACATCTGCTGGTATCAGAAACCTTTGGCTTTAGTGGTACTGTGCAGTGGCCACCAAGAAGCTGTCCTCCACAGCAGAATACAGTTAGGCAAGAGAGATCAGAAGATTCTCCCCAGAACATGAGTCATCACTCCAGGAGCCAGAGGGCGTACCCAGGAGCAAGGTGGAACCTGAGGATGATGAAAAGCTTTGATAGTACGGGGGCATTCTGCCCTTCACTAGTTCTCACACCTTCTCCATGTCTGGGCACCAAATCTGAATGGGCCCCTCAGTAACCCCTAAGGGGCAAGCATAGCTGCAGCAAAAGAAAATCACTGACTGACAACACTGACCAGTGAAAGATGTTCAAATGTTCAAAATGCTCAAAATACTAAGACACTTGGTAACAGGACCAGAAATGATAGGGGTAAAAAAAAAAAAATTATAGATATTTGAGCAATAACGGTGGAAAAAGACGGGATCAACAGAAAAAATACTGCTGACTTCCAAATCAAAGTAGGGTTAGATGGAGCCCACAGCTTGGCAGGAAGGCATTCGGAGGGGAAATTGTAAGAGAAAACTGTATAGAAAAAGGTCTGCTGAGGATATGTCTCAGTAGTAAAGTGTATGCCTTGTATGCAGAAGACCCCCAAGTTCGATCCCCGGCAAAGCAAGGGGAAAAAAAGTTATGAGAAACCTAATTCACACACCTTGAGCCTGGGAGATAGGTCAAAGGGCTGGAATTCATGTTTTATACAGGAGCCCTGGGGTCAATCTCCAGCATCACAAGTTTCTCCATGCTCTATTCTGTGGGGATGTGTCTTCCCCGCAAACAAACGAACAAAAAAACGCCTGCATAGAAAAAGTCAGGAGAGCAGATTGCCCCCAAATCTGTATAACGGGTTCCAAAGGAAAGAATATCTATTATCTGCCTCCTATAGAGAGCATTTTGCTTTGACGGCCACGCCTGGTGGTACTCAGGGCTTATTGTGGGCACTGTGCTTAGGGGTCACACCTGGTAGGCTCTGGAGATCGTATGTGATACCAAGAATTGAACCTGGCTTTGCCACATGCAAGGTAAATGCCCTACTCATTGCACTGTCTCTCTGGCACATACAAAACCGAAGTATTTTTCCATAATTAAAGAAAAACAATAGCCTGGTATTGAAAGGCTTAAGAGTGCTGATTAAGATATGGGAAAAATTGGTAAGTATATATTAGAAGAAAATACATAGAAAACAAATAGAATTGGAGGATAGTAGCAAAGAGAGAAAATTAAAAGTAGAACACATAACTTTAAGGGGAAGAGACACTCAAAGCCCTAAGTGTAGTCTTAAAATTTGGTGTTAAAATATCTTGTCAGATAAAACATGATGGCAGTAACAAATACATCCATCAGCAGGGATAAAGAAAGGTTTAAAGTTAAAGGTGAAAAAGGATGTTGGTAAATAATTACAAAAAACCCTAGCATCTTATGATTATCAGACAAAATATACTCTGAAACAAAATATAACTGGGGAAAGAGTCAAAAGAAAGGGACAAAAACACTCTTGAGAGACTTTGGTACACAATCAACTAGTTATGGGTCAGAAAGCAAATATTGGCAGAATCAGTCAATATATTTAGTCAATATATTCAACCTTTTCACACCTGCAGACTGGCACCTGTCCTGCATATTTGGCCACGGGTCGGCAGTTAGAATGAAGGCAGAAGACCAGTAGTTTTCAACTATCTGTGCCTGTGGACTGGTACCAGTATAAGAACTAGTATTTGAAAACACTGATTTAATAGACATACATGGTCAGAATGTGACACCCACAACTAAAGAACATGAATTCTTCTTTAACAAACATTGAGATATTGAAAAATGCTCTATGGGCTGGAGCGATATAGCTGGGAGGGTGTTTGCCTTGCATGCAGCCAACCCAGGTTCCAACCCTGGCATCCCATATAGTCCTCTGAGCACTGACAGGAGTAATTCCTGAGTAGAGCCAGGAGTAACTCCTGAGTATCGCCAGATGTGACCCAAAAAGCCAAAAAATAATTAAAAAAAAAAGAGAGAGAAAATTGCTCTACAAGCAAATTTCAATGGAATACCAGCTATCAGGTCAGGAGACAGCTCAAAGAACTTTGCCTTCCATGTGGGAAGTGTGGGTGTGATCCCTGTACAGCAGTCACCAGTGTAGTACACTGGGAGCAGCCTCTGAGCACCACCAGGGTGGCTCAGAAACAAAATAAATAAAAGAACAATTGTGGCTTTTGCCTCGGCATAATCTAGACTTGAACCTATTGTTGCAATTTTATTGCTTATTAAATGCAGTTATGTCTATTTGTTTTTAATTATGTTCCAAGAATGAGTAGAAATCAGAGATTCTAAGGGTTTGCAAAGGCTAAAATGTTTATTTTGTTCCTTTACAGAAACATTTCCCAATTCTCAATACAATAGATTATGTTGGATTTTTTTTTGGGGGGGGAGTGGGTGGAGGTGGGGGGGGGCATATCCAATGGTGCTCAGGGTTTACTCCTGGCTCTGCACTCAGGTTATCACTCTTGGCCTCTTGGTGGGCGTGGGGGAACTTATGGGGTGCTGAGAACTGAACCTGGGTCGGCTGTGTGCAAGGCAAACGTCCTACCTCCTGTACTATTGCTCTGGTCTTTAGAGATCATGTTCTAATCAAAAAACACAGTTCAGCAAAACTGATGCATAAAGGTGGAGGGGGTGGGGGGGAGGGAGAGATGGGGAGAGGAAAGAAAGATATATATATATATATATACATATATATATATATAGAGAGAGAGAGAGAGTACTCAACAGGGGTTGAGGTGCTTGTCTTTCTTGCACATAGAGTCCTTATATCAGTTCCCAGCATTGCATATGATCTCCCAAGCACTACCAGAAGTGATCCCTGAGCAGAGCTAGGAGTAAGTCCTGAGCACTGCTGGGTGTGGCCCTTCTCAAAAAGAAAAAAAAATTGTTTTCTTCTGAGTCATTAGTTGGCATTCTTTTGTTTTGCTTGGTTTGGTTTTTGGGCCACTCCTACTATACTATCTCTCTAGCCCAAGTTGTCATTTTTTGTATTCTCTAATAAACTGTTATATTTATGTATCCCTTTCATTAAATCTCCATTTTTTCCCAGTAATTTTTTAAATTACCAGTCTTATAAGGCATTTAAAAATTTTCTGTTAACTGATTTAGTTTTTTTTTTTCCCCCTTTTTTTCCCCTTAGGTCATACTCAGCGATGCTCAAGGGGTTACTACTGGCTCTGCACTCAGGAATTCCTCCTGGCGGTGCTTGGGTGACCATATGGGATGCTGGGGATTGAACCCAGGTCAGCCTCATGCAAGACAAATGCCCTACCTGCTGTGCTATCACTCTGGCCCCAAATGATTTAGTTTCGATCTGTAAGTTTTTTGTTTGGCTTATGGCCCCACCCCCAATTTAAAACAAATTAAAAGCAAAGGAAAGATCATAAGAATTGAAATTAATAAATAAAAAAACAAACATCCAAAAACCAGCAGAGGGCCAGAGAGATATTTTGCATGATGGAGTCCTGGGCTGGAGCGATAGCACAGCGGGTAGGGCGTTCGCCTTACAAGCGGCCAACATGGCCGACCCGAGTTCAATTCCTCCGCCCCTCTCGGAGAGCCCGGCAAGCTACCGAGAGTATTCGATATGCCAGACACAGTAACAACAAAGTCTCCAATGGAGACGTTACTGGGCCCGCTCGAGCAAATCGACGATCAACGGGAGGGCCTTTACCTTTTACCTTTTTATGGCCCCACCCCCAATTTAAAACAAATTAAAAGCAAAGGAAAGATCATAAGAATTGAAATTAATAAATAAAAAAACAAACATCCAAAAACCAGCAGAGGGCCAGAGAGATATTTTGCATGATGGAGTCCTGGGTTCAATCCCTGGCACCACATACTTCCCTGAGCACCGTTCTACTGGAAGTAGACCCCTGACCACCAAGCTGCAGTAGTCTCTGAGCAGCAACGATAGGTATAACCCCCAAACTAAAAAATATAACTAAAGTAAAGAATGGAAGACACTTACAGCAAAGGGCTCAGTATTACTTCACTTGGTATAGTATGTGCCATCTACGTGGAAGGACCTGGTTTGATCCTCAAGGAAAGAACAAACAACACAAACTACCAATCCCAGAGCTGCATAACTAAACACACAGATGAGAAAAAACCACCTTCAAAACAGTCAAAAAATTTGTGCTACTTTATTCTTGGCTTGCCTTTCTGACTCCCTGGTGCAGCACAATTAGAAAGAAGTTGCTTAGCTTTTATTTCTTCTTTGGGATGGAAGGAAAAAAATGGAATTTACTTCTAATTTTCAAGCTTGCAACATGAATGCCCAAGGGACTAATTTTCCGTCTTGCCCAACTCAAGACAGGAACACTGTGGCATAATGAGAGCTGCGGGAGGGGCAGGCCCGTGGGTACCTCAGAGCAAAAAGTTATGAACAGTACAACATATATAACAATCTAAGACTTGGGAAGATGCAGAAGTGACTCTCAGCAAAACTAAAGACATGTAAAAAAACAGTCATAATATTGGGCGGAAAAGCACATGCAAAGGCCTGATTTGTGAGTCTTCAGAATGAAGTCAGTCAATAAATACTGGGAAAGGTCACTGTCACTGTCCTCCCGTTGTTCATCGATTTTCTCAAGCGGGCCCAGTAACGTCTCTGTTGAGACTTGTTGTTACTGTGTTTTGGCATATTGAACA